AAGGGTCTAGGCCCGAAACGTCAGCTTTCCTGCTCCTCTGATGCTGCTTGGCCTGCTGTGTTCATCCAGCTCTACACCTTGTTATCTCTTTTATCAGGATGTTGCCTGGAGTGGAGTGTATTAGCTATAAGGAAAGGTTGGGCAAACTTGGATTGTTTTCACTGGAGCATCAGAGACTGATGGGTGATCTGATAGAAATGTATAAAATTATGAAAGGCATGGATAAGGTGGATCGACAGAGTGCAGACATGTCAAATACTAGGGAGCAGAGGTTTAAGGCAGAGGGTGGAAGGTTTAAAGGAGATGTGCAAAGCATGTGTGTTTTTAAACTGAAGGTGGTAGGTGCGTGGAACGTGCTGCCAGGGGAGGAGGTAAGAGATACGATTGTAAAGTTGAGAGGTATTTAGATTGACTTACGAACAGGCAGGAAAAGAGAGAGATACAGACCATGGCATCATGTTCAGCCAAAGGGCCTGATCTTGTGCTGTACTGTTCTAAGTTCTTAAAATGAAATCAAATTCCAAATCAAAAGTCAAACAATAAAAGTGGCAAATTGCATAGATCACCTCTCCTAAAGCTTTGTACTATTATTAATTTATGGGACTCTTTATACGAAAAATAACTGCTATAGCACTTCATTTGATGCATTGTTTCATTGATTTTCCAGGTTATAATATTTTGTTGGCAATCATATATCCCTGCATGCAACTGGAATCATACAGAATTATGTTTCACCTCTCCTTGTTTCTTCAAGGAGACAGCAAGTGTTAGATGTATTCTGAAAATTCCAGGAAGTAGTATGTAAAATTGCAACAAACTAAACTTTGCCTTTAGATTCAAATTCAAAAATTTTAGATGGCATATTTTTCACATTAACATGGTATTAGCATGGGACAATGTTTGAATACATATGGAACAATACTCTATTATCCCCCAAGAATTTCCTCAGTAGGTCCCTTAGTTTCTCCACCTTTAAGATCACCATAATGCTCACTCTTCATAAAATCATTAGCTCAGCACCCGCCATGCTGTCTACCCTCTGTCAAGTACCTCAGGACATTTATCTATGTTATATAAACGCACATCTTCAAGCTATAGCATGGAATGAATCAATGTAAGCTTTACTACATTATTTCAGAGTGAAGTATTTTGCCATTGTGGGACATTTAACACGCAGTTTGGGATATAAAAGGCAAAAATAAAGGTTTCAAGAAGCCAGTTATTCAAGTTGATTTGTATAATGAAAGAAGGAATTTACAGTGTGACATACTGAAGCACCGCATAAAAAAGCGCTTCATAACCAATGAAGTGCTTGAAATGTTTTAACTGCTTTCATCTAGAAAAAAATACTGCAGCCAATTTGCATTCAACATGACCCCACAAAGAACAAAGGTAAAATAATGTGCTTTGGTGAGGATGCTGTTGGTTGAGGGATGGTGGTGAAGAAATTGAGAAGTGTCTTCAGGTCTCTTATGTATGCCTAAAAGGTACAGATCGACTCTTGGTTTAATGTTTAATCTGAGAGATGACACCTCCCATAAACTGAGATAATTTGCAAAACGCGTCATATTTACCTGCTACACTACACTATTACTAATCACCTGTTTGCAGCACTGTTGTTCATGGCCTCCAGATAAAGGAACAGAATCCAAGTTCCTTGAGCTGGTAAATGCTACATGTGACATATTGCAATATGTCTTCTTAATTACAAGTGCAGATACTAACTGTTCCCTTCAATTACAGTGAATAGGTCAGTAGGGTCCAACAATTAGAAATGCACATTGTTCGAGATTTTCTCAGTTACATGTGCATGCATTAACAGCCTCAATCATAATCACGTGCATTAATGGACCCATTAATCACAACAGCATGTGACAGAGTTTGTCCATTATAATGTACAAAAGACAACCTCATCACTTCACAATGTCTTATACAGGCCAATATCAACTAGAACTGTGCAGTGATGTATTGAGTCGCACTTTTTCCAAAAAAGTAGAATATCACACAAAAAAAGTGTCCTATTGAACAAAAAGATGTTACATTTGGTGTTGATTTATTGTCCTACATTGATCCCCATTCAACCAACATCCCCTTAAAAATGTCGGCCCTCATATGGAAAACAAGAGAAACAGCACTCATGTAACTGTGTCTTTATGCCTAATGATGCTGCTCAAGAATTCCATATCCCAGAGTAAAACTGCAATAACAATGTTAACTGTAGCATGTTGTGTAAATTAGATGTAAATTTTTAAAAATAATTTTAATTAAATACTTGCAGCACATTTTTCTGCACGGTAAGCCAGCAGCTTGAAAGCTCCTTTAGGCTCTTCCAAGTAAATTCATACAAGTGCCATGGGCTACAGGCATTGAAGGTACATATTAAATCTAGATGGGCCACAGTCTGAGAATTGGTAAGGTCGTGGAGGCATGTCCTGTTTCTGATGGGTGGGAAGAGGAGGCCAGCAGCATGGCCAGAAATCATGCAGCCAGAGTCTGGTCAAAAGGATTTGTCGCAATGTCCTTTCGAAGCCTAGTAACGTGAATGCCTGACCATGCTCAGGTGGCAGGACTGAATTCATCAGATCCTCAACAGGTCTCGATAGTGATCAGAGAAATAAGAACATAAAAAATAGGAAGAGCAGACCTTTTTGCCCCGTGATCCTACTCTGCTACTCGATAAGCTCATGACCTCAATTCCAATTTCCCACCTGCACCCAAAAACCTAGATGATCAAAAATCTAACCCAGCCTCCACTGATCTCTGGGGTAAGGAATTCCAAAGATTAATGACCAGAGAAGACATTCTTCTTCTTCTTCAAAATAAGGAGCCTCCAATATGGGGGGAGGTGGGGAGCAGTGATGGCCTGGTGGTATTATCACTGGACTGTTAATGTCATGTTCTTGGGACTCAGGTTTGAACCCCAACACAGCAGATGGTAGAATTTGAATTCATTAAATAAAAACAAATTCTGTAATTAAGAGTCCAGTGATGACCATGAAGCCATTGTCGATTGTCAGAAAAACCTGTCTGGTTCACTCATGTCCTTCAGGGAAGGAAACTGCAATCTTAACCTGGTCTGGCCTACATGCGACTCCAGTCCCACAGCAATGTGGTTAGCTCTTAACTACTCCCCGGGCAACTAGGAATGGGCAATAAATGCTGGCTTAGCCAGACATACTGTGCTTGAATAAAAAAAAAAGGCTTTGCCCTTTATATCTAGATTCCCCATGAGGGAAAGCCTCCTCTCAGCCTCTCTACTCTGTCAAGCCTCCTCAGAATCTTGATCTTATATGTTTCAATAAAAAATTGTCTTATTCTTCATTCCTCTAAACTCCAATGCACACAAATCCAAACTGTTCAACTTCATTCGTCGAGTAAGGAGACTCAAATAGAAGCAGCCATGTGTGTCCAGGTCCCCTCTCAGGTCATTAGAAGCACTCACATTACTTGGATTCATAGCTAAACTGATAGACAGTTACTTCCTTTTCACCAGGAGGACAAATCAAAAATACCAGTGCCTGTGAATCTCCTCTCCTCTCCGTCATAGTTTTGATCTTTAAGGAGGACAGTGTGCACAATGCCTGTGAGGAGTCACACTGGAGGTGGATTGTCCTTAACGGCAATCCTGGTAGCAATGGAGGAGAAGGGATTGCAGGGTGGCAGCAATCCACCCTGGCACAGCTACAGACACTAGGTAGCCACTCACTCCTTGTGGTCTCAGGTGATCAGATGGTGTTACAGCCATGTCCTTTCAAGGCATTGTTTCTCCAACAGGTTCAAGCAGCCGGCACTTGGCCTGTACAGCCTGTGTAAATAACCCCTCAGCATCAATCTGTCACATACACATGGAACTTGATGATCCTCCCCAGATGGAAGCTGTTGTGGCTCACACACAAGCTCTCCCTCTGAGAACTCATCCGCACAGCAGGTTATGTGTCACCACAGGCCTCAAAAGCACACGTGCTCTTAGCCTCTGTTCTACAGGGGACTCCTGTAATTATCCATCGATAACAATTTTAGTTGCACCAGTTTCACTGAGCTGCTTCACTTTGCTAACCTCAGCCTTGCCAATTTCAGCTTTTACAGTTCTGAATTTTTGGTAGGTTTAGGCCTCCCAGACTTCCTGCTGCATTCTCAAATCTTCTGAGTTGATTGTTTAGAAAGCAATTGACATCAATTTTTGAGGATTACCAGGATACCAACAATCAGTTAAGTTCCTGCCACTGCACACTCCCAACATGGCCCTCAGGAGCCCCCACCTCTGGCAACAGGAACAGATGGCCTAAGGTGGAAACACATTGGCAAATCAGCCTGAATTATTAGTCTTTACTCTCTCTCCATGCAAAAGCCATTTCTAAAGGCCTAAGAAACCTCCTTCCAAAATTATGATTTGTAGAATATTGTGCAAGGGCTTCAGGACCCTGCAGTAACCTTGCGATGGGATCACAGAGCTGCACATCACTGTGTATAAATAGCACAACGTGGGCAGAGTTAAAACTCTCTGGAAGACTCACATGGGCACAGGGCACATACACGCATGAACAAAATAGTTATATTAGGTAAGGTAAATCAGAGCCTGGCACACCTAGGATTATTATGTATAGTAGTATTTAGTAAGAAAGTCAAATAAATAGTTACTTTGAAAACTAAGCCTGATGACAATGTGTCTTTGCCTTCTCCTTGACCAGTCCATCTTGAACCCAAAATTCATAGTGTGACATCAAACCACAAGAGAAATAGTATCACCTTAGTCAATGAGTACATTACTTACGAGAATGCAGATTTCTCATCATTTGGCTTGATGCAGCGTACATAGTGTGGTGTTGTCGCATTCAGGGTTTCCATGAGTAATTGCAAAGAGTTCCGAAACTGAAGAGGCAGAAACAAATTTTTCACGTAAGTACAACGCACACGCATGCTGCAGCAAGTAGTAAAAGGGATAGTTTGCAGGCTCATCATTTAAGTGGTAAACTGGTTGAGCATAAGTCCCACCTGCTATAAAATCATCACACTTTTCATTTTCATTGGAGAAAATAAGTGAACACCAAGCCCAGTAAACACACAGTTCAAATGGACACCCTCAATGCTAATCTCCTTGGAAAGTGTAGCACTTCCTATTTGATATAGAAAATGGACTGTTATAGTTAAGACCTTAAGTTGTGCAAGTTAATGAGAAGTCCAGAACATTGCAGAGCTCCAAAAGCTTGCTACAACGCAATAATCAGCTGATCAGCAAGCAGTAGATATGATGGAAGGGTTGTAATGAATAGTTTCTTCAGAACTAAGGAGTCAGAGTAGTAAGAGAAGGTGGGGACAGAGGAGATTCTATGAAGGTCATGAGAATTGGAAGAGGTGAGCACAGAGGCATAAACAATAGAATGGATGTGGGTAAGGATTTTGTTGTCTAAATAAAGTAGAAACCCTCTGATATGGAACTTAGCACCATCAATGCAGAAGGATTTTGATGGAGGTAGACAGCCTGGAAGAAAAGAATGGAAGCATATCCAGGTGGCTGTACAAGTCCTTTGATTTCAATTTCTATAACCTCCCAGATTTTAGCTATTCAGACACAATGACCTGGATTTTACATTGAGACTGGGCTTCCCACACCCCCGGCTTAAATTCCTGCCTTCACTGAGACAACTTACCTGCTGACAGCATGCACCCTAATTTACAGATCTATCTACCTGCTTTTCCACCCACTAGTGTTCTGTAAAACCCAGGACAGTTTCATGAAAGTAATGACTTCTAATCTCTCTGATTATGTCACGTCACTTCAAGCTCTAACCATCTCCTGTTTTCCATTTAAACAGTTTACATGGCATTTTCATGCCTGTGTGTGTATTATGCATGCGTGCCTGCTGTGGAGATGGAGCCCATACTCCGAGTATAACTTATCATTTTGCATTTACATGTAATGTTTTCCAGCAGCTAACTTTAGGCTCAATCCCCTCTCATTAGCTATACAATAGACAAATCTTCACAATACTGGGATTACCTCGATTTAGCAACTTACTTTGCAGTCACTTACTACTCTTTAAGACTCAGAGTGTAATCCTTATTTATTACCAACAGTTCAATCCAGATCTTCAGGTGAAGGACTTGGGCTGACTTCCACAGCAAAGTACTCAGAGGCAGACTTGGGTGTACCCTGCCTATAACTACTCTCCTTAAAATGCTGCAAATCCAACTAACAATGTGAGCCCTGGTTTGCGTGCTTATGGCAGAGAAAGCCATTCCAGTGTTCAAAACTCAGAGGTGCGCAAAAGTTAAAGGTTTTACATGCTACAGGTAAAGGCTGCATTCAGGAAAGCCAGGAGAGAATCTTGTATTAAAAGAAAGAAAATCAACTCTTTAGAATGACAAAGATCGACAAGAAAATTTGGCAGAAAACCTCAAGATTCCCTCAATTTTACAATTGCATTGCTAAATCTGAAGATTCACTTGGGAGGGGAAAAGAGCCAAAATAAAATGTGTACCTGATGTCCAACTGTTTTCTTGTGCTCTTTATTGGGTGCTTTCATGGCAGGTTTGAGAGGTCGAACATTTATTTTAGAAGTTTTTGCCTTCGTGTTGGAAGTAGCAGGTTCCTTCTCTTCCTGGAAGAGGTCAGCTACTAGCTGATACTGAAACCAGACAAAAGGTGTGTAATTGAAAACAATAACTCATTTTATACAGAACTAAGAGATTCTTCCTCCCCCACCACCACGTAAAAAAGGGTACCCTTGCTTCCCTGTATCCTGGAGATGTTAAGAGATGCTGACGACTTTTCAAGCCTCTCTCATTTTCTATGTCAGAATCTAAACAATAAATGTCAGGTGCACTTCCCACCATCAACAGCTGAATCAGGCAAGACCAAGAAGCAACTTCATTGCAGTCTTGTTCCAAACATGGACAAATTGAACTGAATTCTAGAGGTGAACTGAGAAAGACAGCCCTCAAAACCAAGGTAGCATTTGACCAAACACGGAATCAAGGACTCCTAACAAAATTGAAGTCATTGGGAATCAGGGAAAGTTTTCCACTGGTGGCACAAATGATGATTGTGCTAGTTGTTGGCCAATCAGCTTAAACCCGGTATATGGCTGCAGAGGTTCCTTGAGGTAATACCTTAGACCTATTATTATTATTAAAGTGGAGAAAGTTCAGAAAAGATTTACCAGGACGTTGCCAGGAATGGAGGATTTGAGTTATAAAAATAAGCTGGATAGACCAAGACATTTTTCCACTCGAGAATGGGAGGTTGAGGGGTGGCCTTATAGAGGTTTATAAAATCCTGAGGGGCATAGATAAGGTGAATAGCAAAGATCTTTTCACTCGGATGGGGGAGTTCAAAACTATGAGGCATATTTTTAAGGTGAGGGGAGAAAGATTTAAACAGGACGAGGGGCAACTTTTTTTTTTAAAACCACAGGGAGTGCTTAGTGTATGGAATGAACTACCAGAGGAAGTGGTGGATACAGTTCTGTTACAGCATTCAAAAGACATTTGAATAAGTATAGAGTAGGCAACATTTGGAGGGATACGGGCAAAATGCAGGCAGGTGGATCTAGCTTAGTTTGGGAACATGGTCAGCATGGACTAGTTGGACCAAAGAGTCTGTTTCCATGCTGTATGACTATGATCAAACAATCTCGAGCTGCTTCAAGGATCTTTCTTCCAACATAAAGGTCAGAGAAGTGAGGATGTTCACTGAAAAGTGCACACACAGTCTCCAATGCCATTGAATATACCTCAGATACTAAAAGCATTTTGTTATCTCACACATGCAGCCAGACTTGGGCATCATTTAATCTTGATCTGCTAAGTGACATAATATTTGTTGCACACAACTGCCAAGCAATGGCCATCACCAATGACAGAATCAAACAATCATCCCTTGACATTCAATGGCATTACAACTGCTGAATGCCCCAACCAGAAACTAACAGACCAGCCATCTAAGTACTATGGCTACAATTACAGGGGAGAGGCTGGAAATTCTGTAAAGTTAAGCTTACCTCCTGACACCCGAAGTTTTTCCAACATCTAAAAGGCAGTGTCAGGAGGTTCTGGAATATTTACCACGAATGTAGACCAACTCAAAAATACAGAAAGCCATTGTGATCAGAATCCTATCCATCACCTTAAGAATTAATTTCTTCCACCTCTGGCACTCAGTGTGTACCATCTTTCACAACAATTTACAAGGCTCCTTCACCAGCATCGCCAAACCTGCAACCGTTAACCATGTAGGTGGACAAGGGCAGATGCACAGGAACACTTCCACTGACAAGTTCCCCTCCAGGCTATATACCACCATGACGTAGCACTATATAGCTATTGTTCCTTTACTGTCGCTGGGTGAATAAGCCTAAAACTTCCTCCTTAACAGTGTGAAGGATGTATCTAAACTGCGTGGGCTGCAGAAGTTCTAAAAGGCAGCTCACCATCACCTCCTCAAAGGCAATTAATCAGGGACGGGCAATAAGTGCTAGCTGTGCAAGCAATACTGATATCCCACGAAAGAACATTAAAATTGAAGAAAAACATTATTTAGGCAGAGGTTAGGATTGAGAATGCACTGTCTAATGGCAGATATTGATTTATTGTAGTCTTCAGTAGGGAATTTGCTCCATATTGGAATACAAGAATTGGAGAAAAATTTTGTTAGGGTACAAAGCAAGAATAGAAGATAAGGTTTAATTTGATTTCTCTTCAAAAGAGCTGGTGCACTCAATGTTCTCCTTCTGTGTATAGTATTCCATTATTCTAGGCACTGGAGCCCTGATGCATTGTGTTTCCCCACCTTGAGGGTTACCAGATCTAGTTTCACTACAATTTAAAACAGATCATGAGATGAAATTGGGCAGCAGGTTAATAAGCTCCATAACATGCACTGGATTTATTCCCTGAACCTTTCAAGAAAGCAAGGAAGAATAAGTGTGAAACACTGCAGATGCTGAAAATCTGAAACAAGTACTAAGCGCTGGGATAAGCAGGTCTGGCAGCATCTGTGGGGACAGAAACAGAGTTAACATTTTGAGTTCAGTCCGACTGCTCTTCAGAACCCTGAAGAAGAGTCATACAAAGCTTGAAACAGCAAGTCCGGTTCTTTGTCCACAGACGCTGCCAGATCTAAGTTTCTCCAGCATTCTGTGTGCATACGGAAGAATTTTTCTTCCTCACTTCACTGAAGTCCAAATAATAGAGCACAGTTATTCCATTTATGGGAGAGCTGTATTTCTACAATTGAACTCAGCTGGAGTGCTGCAAGAGCAGTTTGAAAAATCTGCACATTACTTCACCTCCTGGCACTTACGTGCAGCAGTCTATACACAAACAATGTCTTACTGGAAGAACGACGATTTGTCTCTTCTGAAGTCAAAAGGTGAAAATGTTATACTACCTTTCCACAGAGGCCTCAAGTTATAAATATGCTTTCCATCTAAATGCCAATTCTTCAATTTTGATTTCTTTTAAAAGGAGCCATTATTTGTGACTGCTGTCTGATGCAGAAGGAAAAACCTGACAAATAGCTCTTGGGAAATCAACTCACTCGTGCAGAGTGGTCATTGAAAGAAAGGACTATTGAACCAGCTGTCAACTGCTGATAAGAAACCTTCAGGTAAAATATGACAGATGAGTTTAACTTGATTGACAAACTAATCAAACGTCAGGAAATCTTTTCTTCATTTAAACAGCAAAATGGCTTTCAACAACACCGTCATAAAGCAATTCACAGAGAAAACAATTTTCTCTGCGAAACGGAGCACTTTCACAGCTATATTATTAAAGTATCATGCATTGATTACCAGTTTTCTTTTTTCCACAGGGTTATCTGAAGTTATTTAAGGCTGGCCCACGACGACCTGAAGCAATTCAGTTGCAATTTAATTCAAAACAAGACAAAAGGTCCACAAGTTACAAAGAAAGTCTAGAAGCTAGTACTTAAATATAGTTGGTGAGGTCGTGAGTTTCATGCATTTAGAGCATCCAACATTCAATTCCTGGTCTGTGCCAAGATTGATATCAGATGAGTCAATAATCTAATGCACCATCCCTAGGTTAGGAAAAGGGTGGGAGGGAGACAGTAACACAAAAGCAGCCACTGAGGTTCTCATTCCTGATTGTTATCCAGATGGCTTTACGAGAGGTAGTCATTCCTCCCTCTGCCCTCTTAACCTGATACACGATCAAATATCCTACTAGCACTTGCTGAACATATACATAACAAATTCCGTCAGGAAAGGTGTGTGTGTGTGTGTGTGTGTGTGTGTGTGTGTGTGTGTAAGAGAAGGCAGTTGCACGGGTTGGGGGTGTGTACATAGGAGTATGGGCATATGGGTTGGGAAGTGGGGAGGGGCTGCTAAGATGGTGGTGTTCTGATGGTGCTGACCAAACTATATCCGAATGACTCTTTGCTCTCAGGGAGTAAGAGATAGAGAAATCTCAGCACACAAAGAAGCTTAACTTGTACCATGTCATTACCAATACAGGAACAGCCAAACCTAAATCCACAGACCAAGAACAAATGCGCATATTATTCACCACATCATGGAGTGAGGGGGCAAGTATTGCTCTCTCGCGATAAATTGGATGATTGATCTTCAAACCAGTTATAAAGTGATAGAGACAATAAAAACTGCAGATGCTGGAATCCAAGGTAGACAAACAGGAGGTTGGAAGAACACGGCAGGCCAGGCAGCACCTGGAGGAAAGGCGCAGTCAATGTTTTGGGTATTACTCTTCTTCAGTCCTGACAGTCACATAGCATGGAAACAGATGCTTTTGTCCAGCTAGTCCACACCGACCGTGTTCCCAATCTAAACTAGTCCAACTTGCCTGTGTTTAGCCTATATCCTTCCAAACCTTTCCTGTTCATGTACTTATCCAAATGTGTTTTAAATATTGTAATGGTACCTGCTTCCACCACTTCCTCTTGCAATTCATTCCACATACAAACCATTGCATAAAATGTTGCCCCTCAAGTCCTTTTTAAGTCTCTTTGTAAATCGTGGATAACCTTCTTCACTGTCCACTATACCATCAATTTGGGTGTCATCTGCAAACTTACTAACCACGCTTCATATTCTCATCCAAATCATTTATATAAATGACAAAAATTAAGCTTCTTCTGCTCCAATTCATCTTCAAATGAACGACTACTGTCACTACATACCATCACTACAGGATCACAGAAGTAATATGGTGCAATGGAGGCCATTCAGCATATCATGCTTGCATCAGCTCTTCAAACGAGCATATTAACTAGCATTAACCTCACACTTTTCCCACCCATACCCTTGCACATTACTTCTACCCAAATAATCATTCAAGGCCCTCAACTGCTACAATTGAAAATGCCTCCACCACACTTCCAGGCAATGCATTTCATACCCTGACTACTTGCTATGTGAAAAAGGTTTTTCTCACTTTAACTTTGCTTCTTTTACACATCACTTAAAATCTATGTCCTCTCATTGTTATTTTTTTTAAAGCAGCAGGAACAGTTTCTCCTAATTTACTCTATCCAGCCCATTTAGGATTTTGAAACCTATCAAATTTCCTCTCAGCCTCTTCTCTCCAAGGACAGCAGACCCAATTTCTTCAATCTATCTTCATAACTGAAGTTTCTCTTTCCTGG